CCCCACCACCGCACAAACACCCCGGGCCCTGCCGCCGCCGAGGCGCCGGTTCCTCCCGCTGCGCCTGCCTCGGTTTTCGGTTCGTGGGGCACCCCGAAGCCCTCGCTAACAGATCTAAACAGTGGCTCCTGCGACAGCATGGGTTCAAACCACGCCTTTCTCCGTGCATCCTGCTAGTAACACCTTCAGGTTGTTGCCGGAGCACTGAACGAATTTTACAAGGTGCTTGCTGATTGTTTACTGTTGGCGTTTCTCGGCTTTGGCAGAGTGAGCCAGTTTCGCTTTCAGTTCTCAGCGCTGCAGCCCTTCAGACAGGAGAGGATACTTATTTAAAGCACACGTAAGCGAAATAGTAAAAACTTAGAGTCATAAAGTAGCCTTGATGCATTAAATTAGGCTTACTTCTAAAGGGGCTTTGCTGGTTGATGTCTGTGGGAAAAGAAATGTTTATAGGTGAGGTAGAGCCTGAACATGGTGTTACAATATGGTGAAAATAAGGCTTTTACTTTTTTCTAGTTAGTATCAACACACTTACTCCAAGGCAGTTTTGCAGTTTGTATCTGCGTCCTTTAATGATGTGAATTTGCCTAGATTGTAATTCTAGGCTAGAATCTAAACTAGATTATACATGTTGCACCTCTGCAAACTGCTTGACAGAGATTTCAGTGTGACTCAAGGTGAAACAATCTCCAAGCTAAGGTTTAGTTTATTCTCATAACGGCGGGTGAGAGATAGCTGAAAGTGTTAAGGACAGAACATAAGTCTTGCAAAGTAAACTACATTTTTAAAAACAACTTCACTATTAAGCTCATCAAGAAATGGCACTGATTTAATTAACCAAAGAAGACTTTGTTTAGGTTTTGTTCAGTGGATTTTTATACAGATGGATTTGTGCTTCCATAGGAGCCATGTTAACTTCTGTGCATCCTGGCATGTTTTTTAACATGCATTCCTCACTGAAATCTGTATTTTCTGACTCTTTTTTTCCTCTCTAGATTCTTTGCCTCCCCTTTATATCTCAAAAATGTTTCAATTCATTTATCTATTGTAGTCACATTTGGCAGCAGAGCTGGAATCACAAAGGTAATCAGTCGCTGTGGAAAGGAGACGGGCTTAAATGAATATCCTCAGTAAGGAATAGGCAGTTATGTTCACCACTTCATCTATTCAAGAAACATCAGGAAAATGATCTGTCCGTGATAGCCAGTGGTGATTATTACTAGCAATGTCATTGTGCTAGCAGTGTTACGCATCTTTTGGTTTGCTGTGTTATCAAACATGAGGCAAGGATGTCCCTCCAGTCTGCAGTCACAGTCCCCTGGAAAGTGATACGTGAACGGTAAGCCAGGGGCAGCATAATGGTCCATGAATTGTAAGCCGTTGCATCTGTTACAATTTCAGAACTCTGTCATTGGGGGGGGGGGGGGCATGTGTCCACAAATCCTATCTGTTTCGATTTGAAGTTACTGTATAAAATTACCTAAATTATGCTAATAAATACTACATTTTCAGACTAGGAGACCATGGCTTTGTTGTTGTTTGACATTTTTGCCAAGGACATGAATAAAGGCCTAGGAGCCAAGACTTCTGAGTTGCCATCCAGTCATTGACAAGCTGGAGTACCCAAAGCTTTTTAACCTGGATGCAGAACATAGCTTTATGCTATGCAGGCGCACTGCCTGAAAACTAGCCAAAAAGAAACTGGTACTCCAAAGTGCCACTCTTACGGACAGGCTGTCTTGTTCCTTGGCAAGTAGTACAAAATGTGGGATGAGGTCTCTAACTTAAGGTGCTTGGTCGTGGTTCTCTGTCGTAGTGTGCCGAGAGAAAAGGGTACTGCTAGAGGGCAATTCCTCCGGCCTGTCTGAGACACTACCCAGTGCCTAAGATAGTGTTAGAGACATGCCATTTTTTTTTCATACACAATGTGTGAAATTGTAGGAAGGTATATTAACATCGTATTTCCTAATTTGGTTTGTTTGTTCCTGTATCAGTGTTAGTGGGACTAATAGGCTTAGAAGACTGAAAACAAAGGAACTTCACAACATCTTGCATCTGCAGGATTGTGGTTCTGCGTTGATGTCAGTTCAGAGTTCAAGCAATGTAATCGCATTACTTTTAAAATCATAATTTGGCTTTGTGAAATAAGGCAAGATGGAGGAGAGATTTAAGGCTGCTACAAAAAGATTGTGGAAATGTAGTTTAAATGCAGGTTACAGAAGGCAAAAGTCACCAGCCATGAATATTGCTGTCCTCTTGGAGTTGGAGAAAAAGAGAATACAGGGACCAAACCTTCATTGCAGGGGAATTGTTTTATTCCCAATGTATGGTTAATTTGCATAGGATAGATCACATTTCTTCTCAGGTAAAGTGTAGGAAATACTAGCAACAGTTAGATTAAATGAGGGAATAAGAACTTTTTTGTTTTATTATATCTAGCATTCTGTTGTTCATGCAGTGTCAGGGATGAAGCTCGGCTAGGTGATCTGATGTAGTCACTACTTCTGGAGATTGATTCATGCTTAGGGCTACGGTAGTAAAACACATTTGGTCTTATCTAACATGACTATAATATTCTTCCTCTGAAGACTTTGTTTAAGGCAATACATATGGATATATCTCTAGCATAGGACCACGTGGACAGTCAGGAAATTGGTTTGCTTTAACCGATGGCAGTACAACTTGGGAGATGGTGACTTACATGTCTGATAACTTGGCTAGAACAGATTCCCTCCTATCTTACTATAATGCTGTAATGCTTCATTTTTCTGATAGCAAACTCTTTTTCCCTCCAAGCTATGAGACTTTATCTTCTGCTTTTAGTAATAATTGCTCCCATAAGGGCTGCCTGCAAGCTTGCTTTAAAGTACCTCTAGCTTTAGTGTAAGAGTGGATTTGGGGACCATAGCCAGTTATGTCCAGGCACAGGCTGGCCCTTTCTGGTGAGAGAACAAGACAAGTGTTTGTGTACAGCTTAAAAGGAGTGTCTCTTGGAGGAGAATGGAGTCTGCAAACAAGCAATCTCAGAAGGGTACAGAAATCAAACGGATTATGTTCTGTGCTTTCAGACCAAAGGCTAAGTCTTGAAAACATGATTCCTGCAACTGTTCACACTGTCCTGAGTGCTCTATATTTATGCTGCCACAGAAAGAACTGGTTACACTCGGAGGAGAAACACAAGAAACACTAAGGACTGAAATGCGTTTGCAGCGAATGTTTCCTCATCATGAATAGGTACACAACTATCAGACAGCTTGGTGATGGGACCTACGGCTCTGTTCTCCTAGGGAGAAGCATTGAATCTGGAGAGCTAATAGCCATTAAAAAGTAAGTATTTTCATTTGTTATGTAACAGTGGATGGTCTGGGTTTTTTCATTCTGTGGTCCTCATTCACTTGGTCATGCTGGTTTGAGTACTTCACATTCAATTCAGCGTTTGTATTTGGAGTTGTATTGGGGCAGCACGCAAAGCTCAAGTTCCTTGTATCCTCCAAAGCCTCAGCAGAACATGAAGAGGGTGAGATATATAGGCTTACTGTAACAGTGCTCTGCTACTACGTGCAGTTGAACATGTATTATGTATCTTATTGAGAGTATTCTGCAATGCTGCTTTAGAGTCTGCAACCTCTTCCCTGTTGCTTACATGGAACATACTTTTCATGGTCTAACGTCCAGTGTAGCATTAATCGTGCACTGATAATTAACACAATGGATCTCATTGTCCATTATCTGTATCTTTATATGCTATTACATATTGGTCTTTTCAGCTTAAGATTTTCTCAAAATTCCTTGAGAAATCCATTTGATTTTTCTCTGCCGCTTCAGTAGTGACCTCAGTTTGTAAATGGCTTATTTGTCCTAGTTGTGGTAAGAGACAGCTGTAAAGCATTGCAGGCACCTTCCTGAAATACCAACCATGACCCAGGGACATACTTGTAAAAAGAGCTTTCAGTATAATGCTGTTCTGTATGCACAGTCAATGGCTGGCTTTAGAACTTTCTAAATCCTCTGTGCTGAGGGTGTTTTTCCTGTATCAAACCTTGCAAGAGGCACTTTTGATTTTTTACTTTGCAACACGGTAGAAACTCAAAAATTTGAGAAGAAACCAGAAGATGGTACTCTCTTAGCTTACATGTTAATGCCAATCCATTATTAAGGATGGAAATGGCCTGGTGGCTGAATGCAAAAGACACTAACTGCAAAAACACTGCTTAAACAAAAAAGTTATCCAGACTTTAATCAGTTAGGTATTTTTCTAAGTTTCATCAGTGCTTTTCGGTGTGTGCGCGTACATGTGAGCCTTTGTCCTGTTGGTACATAGAGTTATGTATGAAAGAACTGAGTCATAATCAAAATGCATATGAACAAATAGGACCATATGTTACACATGGATACTATGTTCAGAGTTTTATTTTGGCTTAGGAGAAAGCAAATCTGCCCCACAGTTTGTTTCTGTTAGCACAGAATTGCTTAGAAGCTTGAAAGGAAAGGCAGAATTTGAAAAGAAGTTGGCATGATAGATGCAAGTCGCCAGGGAAAG